TAGATAAATTTTAGAATTTAAAACTAATAATTTAATTACATTTGCCAGGCAGGGTTCTCTTTGGCTGGCCATACTATGTCCCTTTCCTGCAGAAAAGAGCAATCTATTCTTAATGTAAACACAGTAAAACTAGTGTTTTGATAGTGCATTTGTCCAAATGTGTCTCCATAATTATAAAATATTTTTAAAACTCTTTTTCTCTCTCTCTTGTATGAGAATATGCTACAGTTAGTGTCACTGGCCCTAGTGTTCCTTTCATTGCAACAAATGCTCTGGTCTTTTTTTTTTTTTTTTTACTATCTACATGACCTGCCAATCTGCTGATAGTCATTTTAGACTCAATGGTCATTGAAGAAGACCCTGAACTTTAGTCCGAGATCCAAGTTTAGAAATATGTGAAATATTCAGTGTGGGAGTTCTTCTCCAAGGTTGCAGATTTCCACCTCCCCAGACTGACCCATAGGTAGTTCTGTAGGTCAGTATCAAATGACATGATAATGCAATCATGTTTTCTTTTCATTATTCTTTTTAAAATGATCTAAAACTTATGGCGATGTTTCTTTTCTACAGGAAGCTGCTAGCTAGATCAAGCCTCATAATCATATCGGGCAGAGAAAATTATTTCTCTCGGAATTTCTTTGGCCTCTGAAGATGAAAATAATTAATCGAGGGCAGATTTAATAAAAGGCAAAACTGAGATAGGAAGAATGGAAGGTACGTTGAAAGAAAACCCTCAAGCCCTCTAAAATTAATGCACTTTTTTAAAAAAAAACAAAAAACAATGCCCTGCTATTTTCTAAGATGAGGAGGGAAATTTCTTTCTTCAAAATACTTGGAACAAAATGTGGTGTTGCCATGGTTTCACCCTCACTGGCTGGAAATGACAATATTAGCGGCAGTGACCTGGCAATTAGAAACTCTGTTCCCAGGTCAGACTACAGGGAAAATAAAGAGCGATTACTGAGCTTAGAGAAGGCAGAATAATGGCATGGGCTCCTGGGCTCCCTATCTTTTATAACTGGCCCATTTAAATGCAGATTGTGATGACTTTCTACCTGGGGCCTCTAATCTGTCTCCCAGCCCAATCAAACAATAAGCATCTTTTGGCAGAGGAGGCAGGACGGGGATATAGGGAAGAAAAAAGTCAGCATCCCTACATTCAACCGTTTCTCAAATCCTCACTGTTGGCTTTTCTCTCCCTCCTTCTTCCCATAACCAGACTTCAAGTGCCACGGTTTCACCACAGCCTTTGTAATCCTTTGGAGACTACCAAGCAGAGAGAGCCAATCGTATTATTAAGCAGTCAAAGATGACAAAATCCTTTCACCGGCCCAAAGAAATGGCCCATGTTGATAGCTGCCGGGTTGCCAAATTTTAATCACTAGATTAATCACAGGATGGCTTTGTGGAAAAATTGGCTTACCCCTAGGGCTCTGGGAGAATAGCGGTTTCCAAGCACTCATGGGTTGAAGCACAACTGATTCTGTTGCGTAATTGTAATGTGTGGGTGAGGAGTGACACTTTAATGTCAATGGGTCTGCTTAGGATGGGAATATGACACAGAATTGCTTACATTGATCCCTTGTTGCTCTAGATCACTCTCAACCTTGAGAGTAGGTTTACTTTAGGATATGCGGACTTTAACTTCCAGAATTCCTGGCTGGGGAATTTTGGGAGTTGAAGTCTATATCCTGTATCTTAAATTTGCTAAGATTGGGAAATACTCCTCTAGATGAAACTCAGTATTATGCACTATGTGTGGTTTCAGCCTCATGAAGAAGCAATCTTTGTCACCTGGTCTGGGTTCAGAATTCAGGTGGGGTTGGGTGTGGTTAGTACCTAGCTGGGAGATCCAGGTCAATCCCACAGCCATAGGCTAAAAATCTAAAGACTGTCATGGAAGAAGATCATGCCAAACCATTTCCAGATTGCTGCCAAGTAAATTACCTGAAGTAACCAGGAATTGAGCTCAGTTTGTAGGATCCTATTGTGGTTAATGCAATCTTACCACCAAAACCATATCTCCCTTACTGTCTGTCTTCCTGCTCATCTCTTACTAAAAATACCATTTTCTCAATCGTTTTCCATAATTGATTCTTGTAGCGGCAATTCGGATGATACAGGGTTGTAAAAGGAGGAGTTTGAAGGGTCTGATGTTGAAAGAAGCCATAGACTGCTATAATACCTTATCATACTGGCCATATAATCTGTCATTAAATAATAATGATGTTTTGCTTTGTACATTATAGCATATAGACTCTGTCTCAATAGGTAGATTCCCTTCCTATTTTTCCTGTGTCTTTTTTCTTTTTCTTTCTTTTTTCTATTCTTTTTTCTCTCTTTCTTTCTCTCCCTTCCTCCTTCCCCCCTCCTTCCCTCCAGATACTTTTCCCAGGGTGCTCCAACATGCCTGGGGCCCATTAGCATCCCTTGTGCATAATTAGAGCTCGATGCACTGTTATGCAAAGCAGCCTCAGATGACAAAACTGCATCCTGGACAACTACAGAAATCTGGGAGACACTTTCTCACACAGTTTTAGCCAATGCAAACTGGCACTCTGCATAGTTTCAAAATTAATTAATTGGGGACAGTTGGATCCTCTTGCACCCACTCGTGGCACGCTTCCGATCCCAGCTGCTGAAAAGGACTCTCTTTACAGATCAGTGTGTATTTGTGCTACTGTGCATGTCTCTTTGCGTGTGAAGGAAAGGGAAGAGAATAAAAACTTTTTTAAAAAGTCCTTATTTTTTTTTAATCCTGTCTTCTGTCTCAAATGAACAAAAGATCTCGCAAGAAAAAAGAATAGTTCTCTTTGCCCCTTAAAACAAAAATCATAAGAAGCTGCCTTATGCAAATTGAGCTATTTGTCCATCAAGTCCAGAATAAAGGAACCACCCACCCTATGGTAGGAAAAGCCAGGCTTCTGAGGGTTTGAAGGCTTTTCCAGATAGCCACATTCAAGTATTATGCACCAGTCCTTAAGCCATCAGAAAGCTTTGCTGGCATAAACAGTGTTGCCCTAATGGCCAGGTCCCCCTACTTTGCCACAGTAAGGTGGCTGACAAAGCATTACTTGTCCTTACTGATTTATAGTAGGCAAGTTTAAGGTCGTGATTGGACCATACCCTTAATTTTGTCTTCCCCAGGGGTATCTGTAGAAGAGGGGGAGTGGCCACAACTGCAATTGAAGTTGCATGCATGCAGCATGCAACCATTGCATGGATATGGTTGACATCTTGAAAGGGAAAGACCTTCTATGAACCACTCGTAAAGCTCCAATCTTTCGTGAGTTCCTGGTCTGAGTACTGGCCAAACTTTGAAGGGATCTGCCCATTTCTGCCTTCAATCTGATTGGCCCAATGTTAGCAGTGAGTTTCAGGAAGAATTTAAAAAGGTTATCCCCAGTTCTAACTCACAAAGTTCAATTTGACATTTGGGGAAGAGAAGTTGGAGAAGGATATTAATTTGAACTACCTAGATCCCCTTCTTCAGGTAAAAAGGGGGTTTTCTCCAATGGAAAGCACCTTCTCTCTGTGAATTCTCCCTTTGCAATTTGGGATCCTGGAAAATTATTATTTGAATTGGCATAGAAAGCTTCCAAGACTTCAGGTTCGCTTTCTTTTCATTAGAGACTTCAACTCAAGACTTTTTTTGCATCTAGCAGAAAAAGTTTGTCAGTCATTTTATTTCAGTCATTGACCAGCAAAACAAGAGTCACATTTAACTTGCTGAATACGAATACAGCCTATATAGCATAGAAATTGACTAAGGTAAAACAAACTACAGAATTATATAACACAAAGTAAAATTGTAAATTTAAGTTTAAGAATTTTGGGCATGAAATTAATATAGCTAAGTTATTATACATTTTATATAAGGCAATTAAATGATTATTTAGAACAAAAGAATAGTAAAGTTATGGATCTAAAATATAGAAGCATTGTAATACTAAAAGTCATGGTGAATAGCATGTGTTTTATTTCTATTCACATAAAGCTTTTGTTTCTTATCCATTCATTGTAGATGACACATTAGTTCACAGTTGATCTTTACCAATATTGGCAGGATTCTAGAATCCACCAACGTATAATGTAGCCAACTGCAACCAACACAAAAGGATACCCCCAATCCAATCCATACTAGTCAGAAGGACAAGTTCTAACATCACAAATGAATAGCCACTTGTCCACATTAATGTTCTTTCCATCAATGTTGCATCGAAATTTAGAATTCTTGGGAAGCTTTTCCATGAGTGAAGTTTGACTCCTATTGACTTCCAGTTATTTTATTGGCAAAGTAGTTTTTCGTTTATTTCTTTTGGGACTGGTTTTGGTTTCCCATCCAAGTATCAATGAGATTTTATCCTGCTTAGCTTTTTCAAAATCAGCCATGTTGCTACTTAGCTGAGGTACAATTCATAATTGCCCCTAAAATCTGGACACACTGGAAATAGCAAAATTTTCCCCTGCACTGCTTAAATTGTTCCTTCGTAGTGCCCTGTGTGATCTAAATATGTATTAAGCCAGCTTCCTTTCTTTCCAGTATCAGTATTTGATAAAATGATAAGCTTGGTTCCTGTGCAGTTGAAACTTCTTGTTTCTGGATCCTAATCAGTGAGTTCAGAGAAGAAAGCTTTATGGAGAAGGTAGCAGAGAGGAGAGAAAGTCATATAGTAGGAAGAGCCTATAGGAGGGGGAGAAGGAGAAAGCAGCAGAAATAGGCAGCAAAGAAAAAAGAAGCAGGCAAGTGGCCATAGCGGTGCCCATAAAAAATCTTGTCTGGCATCTTCTCAAACCTGATGGAAGACCAGAGCAAATCCAAATTGGTTTGACCCAATTTTGTAGGAATGTGCATGATTCTGAAGAGAATATTTTGGGGATTTGTGCTTAAATATTCACAATCATAGCGATAGGATTTTTCTAATTCATCTTCCACAGAGTGATTAACAAAAGAGAGTTGTAGTTCAAAGATAGATAAATATGTTTTTGGCCAAACTTACTCTGATGAAAAGATGACATTGTTTCACTGCTGAATATCAAGAGCTCCATGTGTTGCCTCTGCTGCCAAAACCATAGGGGTGAGAGAGGTTTGCCTCAAAAACCTCTTGGTAATTTCTGATGGATGGATGATGAATCACAAGATTTAGAGGAGTTCCCTCCAGGTCACGACAATGCAAATAACTATGATTGTAACATAGAGCTAAACTGAATTGAATCACATCTGGTTGAAACCCTACTGGCATTCATATTAGAGAGAACCTGGAGAAGACAATATTGAATTTCAATGTTCTGCTTAGAGGAACGGCAAACACTTGAGAAGGGATACATTATAAAACAACAATTTCTTGGCTTCCATAATCCCTTTACTCTCCAAGGCACTCAAAACAATAATCAAACACAATATGCAAGCTAAGTAGAGCAAAGGCCCCTGAACTTTAGGAGAAGGAAACTTCTCATCCTTCCTCTGATTCTATTCAAATGCAAGAAGAATGGATAGCTTTTGGGATGTTGTGGGACCAAGCTGGAGAAATTTTTATGGTCTACCCATCCATACATGCACACAAAGACATTTATATATAAGTGCTCAAAACTTCTCCTTACTAGCCTCTCCCTGTCTCAACTGCATGGTGATCAGAGCAGATGGGGAATTAAAGTACTCCATTCCATCCGACAACCTCAATGTCCAGGAGCCTCCCCCTCCATCCAGAACTTCTAAAGAATAGAAGTTAAAGCTACCTTTGCTACCAACAACAGTTCACAAATGTGACACTGCCACTGCTTTTGCTACAAGTCCCTGGTCTTTCTGCAAATGTCTATTGCCACTTTTTTTCCCCATTCCTTCTGTTCAACACCCAGAACCACCACAAAGAGAAATGAAAGCATGGGTGTCCAATAGGAACCATCGTGACATCATCACACAAATGTTACAGATGATGTCATCTGCATCAATCATATCTCGATGCAAATAAAGTACAGGATATAATTCACATAATTTGTGGGATGAATTCATGGTGCACATGATATCTTTGCCCTTGGCTTTCCTCTGCAAAGCCTCATGAGTAGCTAGAAAGAGTCAGTCTTATCATGATTATACATCGTCTGCTCACATCCAGCCTGGATTAGTGGAATGAATCTACATGAGTTATTGCTCAACATGTTTTAAAATACAAAAAAACACAATAGTCCAGATGCTTTTGAAGGCCAAGCACTTAAACATCACTGTACTTACTACTATATCAATTTCTAGTGCTTCCCAGTCTTAATATCCGGTGCTGGTGGTTATTTTTAAAGGCCTAGCACCAATCTGATGAGCGGCCGCCCAGCAATGGGAGGCTTCCTGATCGGCTGAGCTGATAGCTCGGCCGGCGGGAGGTGTGAATGTTTTAAAGTGTTCTATTGGCCGCGCGAGCCCAGCTGCAATATAAATAGCGGCTGTGCGCTACCGTTGTCAGGTTACATATTTTAACCCTTGTGTTGTTGCTGGAATAAACCGTGTTGCTTATCTGGGTCTCGTATCCGCCGTTCTCAATTCAGAACACTGGCGACAAAGGTGGGATACTCCCACTGAGTACGGCCACGAGAGAAGAATTGTTTTGTTGTTGGCATTTCGGAAGGTAGCTACGTGAGGCAAACATTTTTTTTTTCTCTTCTCTCTCATTTCCTTGTGGGCCTGCAACTCTTTCTAATGAGTAATCCGGCTATCTTTGCGCCTTCTGTGCCCAGCGCAGAAACTTGGGACACTTATATTGAGCGTTTCAAGTGTTTTTTGCAGGCAAATGACTATACTGACTTTTCCAATGACCGGAAACGAGCCCATTTTCTCAACGCGTGTGGGCCGCAGATTTTTGCAATGGCGCGGGCACTTGTAGCGCCCCAACAGCTGTCCACCGTTTCTTGGCCTACTTTGCTGGCTAAATTGAAGGGCCATTATGCACCCGCACCTTCCCGCATTTTTCGCCGTTTCATGTTTCGACAACGGGTGCAAAAGGAAGGGGAGTCCATTAATGACTATCTCGCCGCCCTTCGGACTGAGGCGATAAATTGTGAGTTTGAAAACCTTGATGACTCCCTCCTCAAGCAACTAGTTTGCGGCGTGCGCGATTTGCGGTTGCAGCGCCGCCTTTTTGGCCAAATCTGTCATCAATTTGGAGACTGCTGTTGAGGAAGCGGCTGCGTTTGAGATGTCTGACCGGTCTGTGGTGGAAATTCGAAACTTCCCGCACGTTCTACCAGCCTCCCGTTGTGCAGCCATACAGCTAGGGGAGTCCTACGAACGCTCTGATACCATTGCTGATAGCGAAGAGGAGGTGGACCGCCTCAAGGCGTCGGTCTTCAATCGACGCCCACCCTCCAAAGGACAGGCTCCAGCGTTTTGTTTGGGTTGTGGGGATTCACATCCTCGTGCCTTTTGCCGTTTTCGAAATGCTGTTTGCAGCCACTGTGGAAAGTAAGGTCACCTGGCAAAGGTTTGCCATTCGAGATCCTCCGCGGACGTCATGGGTGTACCATCTTCCATTAAATTAGGCCGGGAAGGGTTCAACGGTCCTCAGGACTCTTGTTTCGCTATTTCCCGCTGTGATCTTCTCTCGTCTGGCAGCTATGCTGTCTTGGGTCAAAAGAAGATCTTTCTGACTGTTCGTAGGAAAACCGTGCAGGATGGAAGTGGATACTGGTTCATCTAAGTCCATTATCGCCTGGTAGACCCTTAAAGAGCTGGTGCCGTCCTTCGCTTGTGACTGTTTGCAACCCTGTTCTACTCGTCTTTACGACTACCAGGGAAATGGCATTCCCATTTTGGGTTGCAGCCAGTTTATGGTGGAGTGGGGGGAGTTTGCAGGCCCCCTCCCACTTTTGGTAGTCAAGGGCAGGCTCCCTAGCCTTTTGGGTTTAGACTGGTTCGGGGCATTGGGGCTTTCCATTGCCAGCATCCATACCACGTCTAGTGATGACTTCGAAACCTTAACGACAGAGTTCGCTGAGGTTTTCGACGGCACCTTGGGTAAATATAAGGGTACCCCCATATTGCTCAATTTAGACCCCCAGGTGCCACCTATACGTTTTAAGCCCCGACGGGTCCCTTTTGCCCTTCGCCCCAAGGTGGATGTTGAGATAGATAAGTTGCTGGCTCAGGGTGTACTTGAGCCTACGGATCATTCTCGATGGGAGACCCCTAATTGTTATCCCCACTAAGGCGGATGGTTCCATCCGTATTTGTGGGGACTTTAAGTGTACCCTTAATCGGGCCTTGCAGGCCCACCCGTATCCGGTCCCGGTAGTTCAGCACCTCTTACATTCTTTGGGTCAAGGGTTATTTTTGCTAAATTGGATATGTCCCAGGCGTATCAACAGCTTCCTGTTGATGACGCCACGGCCGCCGCCCAAACAATCATCACGCATCGGGGCGCTTTTAAGTGCCGCCGATTACAATTTGGGGTCTGCGTAGCTCCTGGAATTTTTCAGAGCCTTATGGAGCGGTTGCTCCAGGGAATCCCTGGTGTCGTTCCTTACTTCGATGATGTTTTGATCTCGGCTACCACCAAACACGACCTCGTCGAATGTGTTCGCCAGGTGCTACGCAGATTTCAACAAAAGGGCCTGAAACTTAAAAAATCTAAGTGTAAGTTTGGCGTTCCCCAGGTCGAATTTTTAGGGTTCCTTGTAGATAAGTTTGGCATTCATCCTACACCTTCTAAGGTCGATGCCATAAAGAATGCTCCAACGCCATCAGGTAGGGCCGAGCTTCAGGCTTTTCTGGGCCTGCTTAATTTCTATAGTATATTTTTGCCGCATAAGGCATCTGTGGCGGAACCACTCCATCGGCTATTGGACAGAACAGCCCCCTGGAAGTGGGGGCAAGCCCAAGCTACTGCTTTCAGGGCTGTTAAAGATCTACTTACTTCTGATGCCGTGTTGGTCCAGTATAGTGACCACATACCCCTCACCGTGGTTTGCGATGCCTCCCCATATGGCATCGGCGCTGTGCTGAATCATGTTTTGCCCAACGGGTCCGAAGCTCCAGTTGCCTATTATTCCAGAATTCTGTCGATGACAGAGAGGAATTATAGTCAACTGGATAAAGAAGCATTGGCACTCGTGGCCGCCGTAAAGCGGTTCCACGATTATATTTACGGCTGTTCCTTTCAATTGGTTACGGACCACAAGCCACTTTTGGGTTTGTTGGCCGGAGATAAGCCTACTCCCCAGATTATCTCCCCGCGTTTGGCGCGGTGGTCTGTTTTCTTGGCCGCCTATAACTATCAGTTAATTTATCGCCCTGGGAGCACCTTGGGAAATGTGGACGGCCTTAGCCGCTGCCCCCTTCCTTTGGCCATAGAGGATCCCGTTCCAGACCAGCTGGTTCTTTTGATAGACGATGTTCCTTCCCTTGTGACGGCTGCGGATGTAGCTAAACACTCCGCTAAGGACCCTACCCTTGTACAGGTCATGGATTGGGTGCGTAGGGGATGGCTGCGTGGGCCATTACCCACGGAGGTTAAGCCATATTCCACCCGCCAGCACGAGCTTTCTATCTCCCGGGGGTGCCTTTTGTGGGGCTGCCGAGTGGTGGTTCCTCCTGTATTGCGGCCAACTATTCTGAAACGACTGCACGATAGCCATCCCGGTATCGAGAGAATGAAGGCCTTAGGCCGTAGTTATGTTTGGTGGCCTAAGCTTGATCAGGCCATCATAGATTGGGTAGCAAGGTGTCAAGTTTGTCAGTCATCCCGGCCAGGGCCCCTGGCTGCCACACCTAGGGAATGGGAGATACCCAGGAATCCATGGTCCAGGCTGCATATAGATCTAGCAGGGCCGGTTCAGGGCCAGACTTTTCTAATCGTGGTTGATGCTTATTCTAAATGGGTGGAAGTTGTTCGTATGGCATCAACCACGTCGGACGCTGTGAGTAAGGCTCTCAGTAACATATTTGCCACACATGGACTTCCCGATGTAATTGTCTCGGACAATGGACCCCAATTTGTTTCGGCAGCGTTTCAGATGTTTTTGATGGGGTTGGGTATTCGTCATGTCTTAGTGGCACCTTATCATCCGTCCAGTAATGGCCGGGCGGAGAGGTCCGTCCGCTCGGCCAAGGACGCTTTGGCCCGTTTCGGCCCCGGTGATTGGCAAGAGAAGGTGGAGCGGTACCTTTTGGCGCAGCACTCGACCCCGTGCCCGGTATCCAATCGTAGCCTGGTCGAACTTCTTATGGGCCGGCGCCTAAGGACTGTGTTAGATAGGCTACATCCGGACTATACACCTGAGGCACCCGTGGATTCCTCTAGCCGGCCCCGGGTGTTCGGGGTTGGTGATGGCGTTTACGCCAGGAATTATGGAGGTGATCCTTTGTGGCTTCCTGGACGTATCATTTTAGTCACGGGACCCCGTTCTTACAGGGTTGAACTTGAGGATGGCCGGACCTGGCAGCGCCATATAGACCAGCTAAGGAGTCACATTACGGCTCGGACCCGGGGTAACGAGGAGCCAGATATGTTTGGTGCACTTCCGACGGCTGATCCGGCGGACGATAGTACTTTAGAGGCTCCGTCGTTGGGGTCTTCACGTTCACCTGTTGTAATTACAGCTCCTTCATTGCCAGAGGTACCTGTAGATGTTCTTGCACGATCATCATATATTCCACCGTCTTCAGACCAGCTACCTCCGTCTACGACATCTCAGGAAGTACCGGAGACGGCGTCACCCCCTGATCACTCGGACGGCAATTTGCACCGGTCCGGGCGTACATGTAGGCGCCCGGGTTATCTGGACGATTATTGTACTATCTAAAGGGGGAGGAGTGTTACAATCTGATGAGCGGCCGCCCAGCAATGGGAGGCTTCCTGATCGGCTGAGCTGATAGCTCGGCCGGCGGGAGGTGT